TTGTGGTCGATGCATTGGAGTTCTGAGGGGTGCATATGTGTACGTCACTAGGCAAAGAAGCATGAGAAAAGACAATGTAACTTTGTTTCATGAAGCGCTCAAAGTAACGTCGATAGTTGCTATCGTAAACTGTGACAAAAAGGCGGTCTCCAAACCATGCCCTCGCATACATACGCCTTGGTAGATGAAATCGCCGCTATGGTATAGTGCCCTAAGAAGTGTAGAGAAGAAAATCCAGAAAGATCATGTTGCGCCTTGTCCTGAGGCTTCATGTCGCCGATGAAATCCTAGTTGATGCTCCTGCTAAACGCCCGTAAATCCCGTGGTGTCTATAACGCCGGGTATCCTGTTAAGATGTGCTCGTCGTGAAATCTAATATGTACATGGAAGGTGACACGCAATGTTGTGCTGAGGGATTCTCACGTCATCGCTTTTTGAGGCGGGTATGTGATCTCGTCTCGGTCTTTGCCTTCTTTAAGGCAGTTGCCTTGCCTCCCGACTTTTTCTTGCAGGAAATGCAGCCGTTCGGTATCGTCCTCGTCGAATGCGAAGGCTCCGTTCCAGAATCCGCAGTCGATGTTTGTGGTCTCGTTTCGGTATACGACCTGCGCTTGGGCTGCCAGGTCCACTGGCGGCAGACTGTGTTCCTCGCCAAGTTTCTCTCCAATTGAATCAATCTCGCTTTTACCAGGCATGTGATGGAATAGCTCAGAGTTCAGTGTCCAGCACCGTAGTCCTGGGCTCGGGTATTTGCTTCGACTTCGAGGGTTGGCTTTCTGCCACTCCGGTGTGGGAGATGGCGTGTTCTCTCCCTTGTTGCAGGCGTGAAGAAGGGCGACGTCGAATGCGCGGGCGCCTGACTTCTTCAGTTTCGGCGGAGCGAGATCGTTGAGGAGACGTTCGGCGGCGCGGCGTGTGACGGCGTATCCGAAGGAGCATAGAGGGAACTTGGCTCGGTGCATGACGCGCGTTTTCTCGGGCATGCCCAAAAGGCGGAATAGGTCTTGTGTAAATGGGTGTAGGTTAATCCACGATGGAAGCGTAGGGTCTTGCCATAGGATGTGTGGCATAGCGCTCAGGTTGAAGGACTGGCGGTCGGTCTTTGGGCCGTCCTCGGTGACAATATCAAAGTAGTCACCGCAATGACCGAGATAGAGCAGATCCCAGGCATCTTGGTCGCCCCAGTATTGTGTGTGGTTGCTGGCGGCGTTGACGCCCGGGTGTTGAGCGCGTGGTGGAGGAAGGAGCTGGCGGGCAGCGCTTGCCGCAAGGGGTATCTGGACGCTGCGCAGGCGGATGTCCCAATCGACGTCGTCTTCGAGAATGAGAGCCGTCTCGAGGCCTGAATCTAGGAACCTAAATCATAGCGAATCAGCAGCTGCTCGATGTGGCTGTATGCATGCCAAGACGGGTGGCATGCCGGCGTCGATATAACTTACCAGCGCAGCGCGTTGTGGTGCCCTAACCACGCTAGTATCGATCCCTTCTGCGCCTTTTCCTGACCGTTGATGAAGCGCTGGACGTCGCCCTCAGTCCATTCTGGCTGGGTCGGGATGGTAAGGTCGATGTCGGTGACATTGGCAGCTTGGAGCAGCGGCTTGCGGCGCGAGGAGCCATCCTTGGACACGACTACGACGGCGCCGAAGCCTAGGGTTTTGTTGGAGGGTATCTTTGCAGGGCGCGACTCAATCGAGGACATCCATTGCAGGTATATGCGGTCAGTGTCTCTGCTGTGGTACCATATTCCGATGAGGACGAGGACGAAGAGCAGCAGCAGCGGCGTGGGCCGCTTCCTGGAGGCAAGCATGTCTAGCTAAGGTAGTGGGCCAAAAGTTGTTGCTGTTGAAGGAGAGTTGCTAGACATGTCCGCGAAGTCGAGGAGGTGGGGGCACGCTATCGCAAGAACAAAGTAGGCATTAGGACGTTGTGTGGCAGGACCGAAGCAGATCGCGCTGGGCGAGGGCCATGTCTAAATGTCGCAGGTTGCGGCGGGAGCAATACGGGAGCATGCCGGGGTGTGGCACCGACATTGCGTCTTGTAACCACTGTATCAGGCTACCTTAGATTATCGCGCATGCACCCGGGATTGCCGTTATTTTACGCTCGCCCGGGTGGATATAGCTTGTAGAGGACGCGGCCGTCGCAGGCTGAGTGTGCGACGGCGCAGTTGAAACGGGCGACAGCACCCAGGCGCCTCCAAAAGTGGAAGTCATCCAAGATTGAAAGGCGCGTCTGACCTGCCACCTGTCCGGACGTGCTTGGGCCTTGCGGCTGACTTTTTGTTTTATGACATGCATACGTACCGTGTCCGCGTTGGCGGTCCCAACAACGGCGTCACGTGGTCGGCGTGCCGAGTCGATGTGAGCAAGGCGCGCCGCTGCGTACTCCGGGACACGCTATCATGCGCCTCACTCAACCACCGATTACGACGCCGACGCTTACAACATTGACTACGACGACCATTGATGACTACGACTAGACACGAGTAGACGACGAATTGAACGACGACACCCCGTGACCCTGCGCGACTTGTTTCTGCAGCACTACATTACCTATTCCAACCCCCAAGTCCGCTGCTTGCTAGTTTGTGTCATGCTGTGCGCCGCTGCACCCTGAAACTAGTCGTGCGCCGGCTGCTTGTCCTCCGCAGCCTCCCCTTCTCCAGGCCGCCCGTCCTCGATCTGCGCCGTCCACGGGGTGACCCCAGGCACAAACATCCCCTCGCAACCCACCGCACCACATGCCCGCCCACTCAGCCAGCCCATAGACATGGCCACGCTGGGCTCGCCCTCTCCCCCGACTTCCCCCTCGCGAACCATGCGCCGCCGCGGCTGGGCCAGGAAGGTGGAGCGCTACTGCTGCACCGCCGTCACCTACTTCCCGCTGCTCTTCGTCTACGGCCTGACGTCGTGGGCCGTGTGGGTGCAGGCTGGCATCGGCTTTGTCCCCTCGAAGAATGTCTGGACGGGTGCGTCTCCCTCTGTACAATACATCCAATGCATATCTGTCCATGTCCAATGAGACCACTTTGAACAAATACCTGGACGCGACTACTGACACGTCGCATAGGAAAGTTCTCGTCTGCCCTCGGCGTCTTCCTCTATCTCATGCTCAACTGGAGCTACACGACCGCCGTATTCACCGACCCCGGATCGCCGCTCAATATCAAGAATGGCTACAGCCACCTGCCGTCGCAAGAAGGAGGAGAGATGCAGTACACGTCCTTCACAGTCAAGGCATCGACCGGTGAACTGCGCTTCTGCAACAAGTGCCAGTCCAAGAAGCCCGACCGCTCCCACCACTGCTCCACATGCAAGCGCTGCGTCTTGAAGATGGACCACCACTGCCCGTGGCTCGCGACTTGCGTTGGCTTGCGCAACTACAAAGCCTTCGTCCTGTTCCTGACATATCTCTCCTTCTTCTGCTGGGTGTGTTTCGCGACATCTGCGACCTGGGTCTGGAGCGAGATCCTGAGTGACGGACAATACACGGAGTCGTTCATGCCTGTCAACTACGTCTTGCTCGCCGTGCTGTCTGGCATTATCGGGATTGTCATTACAGGCTTCACTGCATGGCATCTGTGGCTTACAGTCAGGGGTCAGACCACGATCGAGAGCTTGGAGAAGACGCGCTACCTCTCACCACTCCGAAGCACGATGAAGCACCAGCTCAACGACCGGAACTATGTCGAGGCGCAAGCAAACGGGCGATTGAGCGTTGGCGACCAATTACGCGAGATCCATGCGAACGCTCTCCCAGGAGTGACCAGACCCGAAGAGGGTGAGCAGCCTTCGCGATCCGCATCGCGTTCTCCCGTCCCAGGCCACGCGAACGGCTACTCCCACCCACACTATCAATCCTACGAATACCGAGAGCGCCAGCAGAACCAAGACCGCTACGACAGCTACCTCGACGAGCGCGACAACGAGATGCTACCGAACGCATTTGATTTGGGCTGGAAACGCAACATTGGGCATGTCTTCGGGCCTTCGCCGTTGACGTGGTTCGTGCCACTGGTAACAACAACTGGAGACGGATGGTCGTGGGAGCCCAGTCCGAAGTGGCTGGCAGCTCGGGAACGGATAAAGCGTGAAAGAGAAAGGGAAGAGCAAATACAAAAGCAGCGTGAGCGCGCTGCCGGCTGGGGTGTTGATACTCCTACTGAGGCAGAATTCAGACGTCCCACCCGCGGACCGGATGGGTGGATGCCCGGCCAATACAACCAGCCTGCACCGCGAGCCACAAGACGACCAGAGTGGCCAGCACCTACTCGTCAAGGCGAGCCGACCCAATACCTCACCCCCTCGAACGGCATCGCCAAAGGCCCCATCGACGGACGAAGAAGTCCGAACAAAGCCGACCAAATACTAGGACGAGAACGCGGCATGTACGCAGACGGGGACGTACCGCTCCAAAATATCGACAGGAGGAAGTTCGACCAATACAATTACATATCCGAAGACGAAGACGACGATTACGAAGTCTCCAGCGACGAGCAAGCGGTAGACCAACGAAAAGCACGAAAAGCGCAGACCGTATCCGCACCCCCGAAAGGGACGCAAAACTGGAATGATATACCAGATGGGTTCTTAGACCCAGCACCAAAAGCGAAGAAAAGCACAAGTCGGGAACGGCCGCGGAAAAACGGCGAATGGGATGATTGGGGGACGTGAAGATATGGCGAATACAACGGATACGAAGGCATGTTGGTTATGTTGATATGTACATTTCAATGTTGCATAGCATGGCGTTTGTTGCATAGGAATGGAGTTTACGTCTAGTCATTTGAGGAATGAAGATATTCTTATCCATGGCTTTTGGTTTCTCTTAATACTACGCTCTAGGTACAGTCTCGCGGATTCTAGTAGCTGACTAGGTAAGCAAACGTGTTCTGTTGTACTTATATATATCTGCGCACTCGCATGCCAATCACTTTGCACTCACACGCCCACCCTTTCTCGACAGTCGACAAAGATCTCACGAAATCAAAATCAGCACACATGCCTATCACAGCCGCAGAGTACAACACTTTCTACTTCATCGCCAAACTCATCCGCCAGGTGTTCCCGGGGCACAGATTGTATGTCGCCCGTGAAAAGAACCTAGCCGGCAAGGTTCTCAGCTACCACGCCGGGGTAGCGAAGTATGAAGGCAAGGTGATGAAGGACATCATCATGGCTAGCGGTAATGCGAAGAAACGCGTCGATGCACTAGACACACTTTTGGGAGATCTGGAGGACTACGTGCACGATAACTTTGAGCAAATCGAGGCGGAACGGCGGGCTAGTGATGCTGCTCGCGACGCCGAGCTGTCGTCCAGTGAAGAGGAAGACGAGGGAGGGAAGAGGAAGGGGGGAACGCTGGGGGGAAGAGGTGTTGATAAAAAGCCCAGGCTAGACACCGACCAGTCTCTAGGGAAGGGGGACGCGGAAAAGTCTGGGAAACGCAAGCACTTGGAACAAGGCAAGGACATTCCAAAGTCAAGTGAGGGGTCTTCACCAGTCCGGGTGAAGGCAGGAGCGAAGCCAGAGGATAGAGTTGAAGGAAGGGACAGGGCGCGGTAGGGGTGATGTGCAGACTTCATAGTGTTTTACAGAGGTCCTCGGAGATGCGATATTTTCCTCTATCTCAAGTATCTGCATGCGTAAAAATCATACCAAATACGGGAAGTATAATATCAAGATCAGAACGGCCTGGAATTGACGCAGTGGTAGTAGTAGTCATCGTCGCTAGGTCGCCTCTTGGTTATCGCAGTACCATAGTTCGTAGTATGTTACATATGGGAGATATTGTTCTGCTGTAAGCGCCTGTGCGACTATCATGAGACTGTAATTAAGTCGGCTGAGTAATGCTAAGTTTGATCACTGATCAGCTAGACAAACTTATGGTGCTCTTCTTATATAACGACACGCATCCACATGCTGAAATTCCAGCACTTACACTATCTAACAACCCGAGATCAGCACCGATGTCCAGCAGCATCACAGACCCCGAGTTCCAGACCTTCTACGCCGTAACCAAGCTTATCGATGCCGTCTATCCAAATGGCAAATTGTACGTGAGTCACGGCTGGAGCACTGACAGTGTATCTTACCGGTATCGTGCCGCTGTGGTGGAGTCAAAAACAGAGTCTTCAGGTATTGTCAAGAGACGACTACTCTCGAACGTCGAAACAGCCAACACTCGGTCTGGCGTTCTACAAGCCGTGCTGAGGAAGCTAGAGGAAACCGCGGCCTGGAGACTCGACGTGATGATAAGCGAGAAGGAAAGAGATGACGTTGAGGAAAACGAAAGGAAGAGGAAGAATCTGGTGAGTTGCGAAGCAGTGTATGAAGAAGCTAGAAGGAGAACGCAAAGCGGAACAGGGTTGGTCTCAGCTGCAGGAATAGCTTTGTCGATAGAAGATATCGGCAGAGAAATTGGAGTAGAGTTTATTCCACAGAAGCCGTGGTAGATAGGGAAATGTGGAGGCATGGTTGAGCAATGGACATCGTATTTGATCGTTGTGGTCCCTAGTACCTGCCGGGCGAGAAGGCAGCCCTGGGTCCTCACTAGCGCCGCGCGCTAATCGAATTGGAATATCCCGAGGTCTACGATGACGATATCCTCCATCACATCTCATCACTAGAAACCCTTTCACCGTTGTGCCTTACTACTGACCGATCTCAACATTGCAGCCGTCTTTGATCGATATGACGAGTGTCATGACCTGCTTCTCCACTCCAACCAGCTCGACAGCTTCTCTTTTGGGAAGTCTGATATCCGCGAAGCTCTGAAGAAGTCGCACAATCACGTACCCAGCTTCCGTTAGCGCAAAGTCCACTATAATTTCAGATTAGCTTGATGACGAAAAGCGCAACCCACGCAGGTACTTACTCCCTAGACAGGTCCGCGGTCCACCATGGAAAGGAAGATACCCCCACTTGGCGTTTGTCGGATCTTGCTGCTGCAGAGGCATCTCTTCATCCCATCTCTCTGGTCGGAACAGCTCTGCATCCACTCCATAAAGGTCGGGTCGGCGGTGCATAGCATACACACTGAAAGCTACCGCGCTCCCTTTTGGTATGAGGACTGGGGAATTGCGATTCGGACCGCCTCCTGTGGGAAGTACAGTGGTCCTTGAAGCCATACGGATATTAACAGGCACGGATGGGTATAGTCGCAGGACTAATCTGAAGGTGAGAATCTCATTTGAGAGGAAGATTCAGCTTAAGACGTACCTTCTTTGAGCACGTTTTGCAGGTATGGCAATCGTCTCAAGCTATCGCGGCTAAGTTCCGAATCTGTGCCACAGGTCGAGAGGATTTCCTCGCGCAGCTTCTTCATCACGTTCGGATGACGTGCGAGCAGAAAACTGTTCATGTTAGACGAGAACCCCAACATTGGGAAGCGCAACTCACAATGTCCAGGAAAGAAGGCAGGCGGTGGTGTCCCTCCCAGCGACTAACAGACTGATGATCTGACCTCTTAATGCAGCTCGATTCGACGCGTGCTGCGCAACGGCATCCAGAAAGACATGTTTACCCTCATCGTCTGTCTTACATCGATTCGACAAAATATTGCGATCGATAATCTTGTCGGCAAACTCGCGAACATCTCGGCAAGCTTTCCTGAACCCTCTACCGTCAATCATCCAGTAAAGGTCCTGGAGTCGATATCTGATAACAGCCCATTGTTGGGCGGTGTTGAATGCATCCGCAAAATTCCGCTCCCCAACAGCCTCCGGGTGTGCGAGACTGCGAGTTGACTCGCCAAACAAAAACGCTGTCGTGGTATCGAGAGTCAAGCGGAAGAAGAGCGGCTGCAGATCAACGATCCCGTCGCCTTCTCGAACCAACCGGATGAGATCATTGGTCGCTTCTTGGAATATCTCAAGGCTCTCATAATGCTTGTGTTGCAATTGCGGTCGCAGTATATCCCGGGAGTGTTTCCAGCCAGCGCCTTCCTGCGTGAAAATACCATCACCAAACGCTGGGAAAAGGATCGCTCGACGAGGCCCAAGACCAAAGTCTACCTGTAAGTCAGCCTTCCAAAACACCCACCACGTCATCTTCTCAATTCCGCACCTTTGAAATTGGTAGACAAGATAGCCTCCAAATTAGCCGGCTCGACAGTTCCATACGCTTTCACTCCCAGAAACTTGTGCTCTAGTGTCTTTCCCGTTTGCCGAAAATGGAACAGGAAGAGCTCCATTAATCGCGATTCAGAGTCTGCGCGGAAGATCTGCTCAAGTCGATCGATACCAAACGGCCTTTGGTTGTTCAGTCTAGGGGCTGGAAGACATCCGTGGCGGTCGCTAATTGCTTGGTCTTTCTTCTGAAATTCAGTAACTTGGGAGTGTGTAGGTCATAGGTTGGACTCACGAGGCATTGTCGTCGGTGAGAGAGATACTGGATTACGAGCGCAACCAGTGAGACAGCGGCTACAAGAAGTGCCACCGGCGTCATCGTGTCAACAAAATCGGAAAAGGTAGCAGCCAGATCATGGAAGAGAGTCGGCGAAAATCCGAGAAGTAACTGGAAAAAAGAGATTGAGCGTTTGCGCATGCGCCACAAGGGTGGAGTACTCCTTGTTGGGCGTTCGTGTAACGCAACACCAACGCGCTATGATAGAGCAGCAGGCGTTGAATGGGCCGTGCTTTTGATCCTTATCCTTCTGGGGTGTTCTTCCATGACGCAAAAGGGTGTCTAGCAGTTGAATGCTTCCACACTGGTGGAACATTAGAGACTGTTTGATGCGTTTGTGTCTGCTACCATGGCGAGCAAACTGTCGCATTTATTCGCTTATGTAGAGAGCATACCTTGGCTTGGTATCCCAGCTTACCGAAATACCTATCAATCATGAGCGTAAACTCCACAGCCAGAGCCAAGCCCGTGACCGAGGCCGACCACCGTACTCTTAGCCATGTGAAGATGCTAGCCGATAGTCTCTTCGGCGACGAGTTCAAGGCATCCGTCCTACTCTATCAAGACTCCACCAATTCCAATCTCAATGGATACCTGAGTACTGTTGTTACTAGCTCAATTACAGATCATTCACCAGTATTAGGACTTGGCCTGCATGGGGGATCGACAAGGGAAGAAGCATTACTGGGGCTGTTGCGCACCTTGGAGAGGTTGATGGCTACGAAAAGTCTGAATATGGAAACACCTGCAGTAGAGTTCTGGGAAAAGATCTTTGAATTGACGGAGGCTAAGGAAGCCGCAGAGCGAGCTGCTCGAGACGCAATGTCTAAAGAGAGTAATGACGGAGTAGATGGGCCGAGAGGTGGTGCACTCAGGGATATTGGAGGAGACAGAAATCAAGCTGGTGCTCAGGTCAAGGGGAAGAGAGCAGGCCCGCCTCCACCGAAACGAAAGAGAAGTGGTGCATGAAAGATGTTAGTGATCTGCAGTAGAGAGACGGCCTTCTTCAGAACACAATCGTCGCTTGAAGTAGGTGTAACACATGCCAAGTGAATATCAGTATCACTCGTAGGGCTCCACTGACCACGCCTGTGCTTTGCTTATACAATTAGACGTCCAGCAATCAGTTTTGTGATCTAACCTACGCATGTCTACACATCTATAAACATGTGAACATAGTGGAATGAGCGCATGCAAATGTATCGAATCGCTTCGACGGTTCCACAAAGTTTGCTTCTCCAAGTGATCTCACCCACCTGTTCACCCTCCCGCCTCATTGTACAACTAGACAAACACATTGGTACACCACTGATCCTAGTAGATGACGCGGCTTCTTCACCGGTTTCTCGCCATAATAGACCGTCTCTAGTTGCCCTTTGTCTTGATATCGCAAAGTGGTAGAACTCAAGACACAGATGGATTCATTGGCAGCAAGTATGCCTGAGCGCCTCGGCCGACCTCGCGAACCGCTTCCAAATCTACGTGGTGAAGACGAAACGGAAATTAGATATCTCATCGACTTAATCGAAAGTAAGTACCAAAACCCCCCCAACCCCATCCCTCCCACCCACTCACCTCCCCCCTCAGCGCAATCATGGATCCTCTCCCCCCTCAAACCCCCCTCCTGCATCCTAGGCCGCCACCCCCCACCCAAAGCCTCCGCAAACTCCACCTCCAAACCAAAAGCCGTCGACCCCTCTCTCGCTTTCTGCGCCTCCCTCTACAGCATCGAACAAGGCGGAGTTAGAAGCCTCGAACTCGGACCTGAAATGGGTGGGAGCAGGAAAGAGGCGCTGGAACATTTGTTGGGAGTTGTGGAGATGGAGATTGGAAGGATGATGTTGAATGATGATAACTATCAGAAGAAGAAGGCGGCGAGGGATGGGGGTGGGAGTGTTGGGAGTGGGAGTGTGGGGAGGGGTGAGAGGGGGTGAGCATCTCATACAAGTAAAGACCCTTAATATGTTTATGGCCTACATTGGGATAAAAAGATGTGAAGTAGGTCGCCAAACGTCAATGTGGGCCCTAAGATGTTTTGGCCTTTTCCTTGCACAAGGTGTAAGGGTGCTTTTGGGGGGATGAGTCATGTTTCTGATCACAAGGGTTCTTGGAGTATGCGAGACTGCTTGACTGAGTAATGCAAATGGGGTATCTTGCTGGCTTGTGTTTCTACGTTGTATGGATCAATCCTCCAGATTAGAAGAGCGGCTGCATACGCGATAAGTTCTCGCATTACCGCCCTTTTCGTGGACCACAACATCTGTTACGGTTACCATCATGTCCAGATCCCTCATTTCATTATCTTCCTCGAAACCCCTCCTGCTGCATGATCTGTTGTGATTCCAACAAATCATACTCCCCCTCTCGGGCTCCCCAGGACATCTTCTGCATTATCTTCCTAAAGTCCTACTCGTCTTCATTCTCCTCGGGCTCTCCCGGTCGTTGTTCTTCAGCGTAGTCTTCTTCGCTCTCTCTCTCGTCGGGTACTTCCGGGAACAACGTTCTCATTCCAGCATAATCTTCCACTGCCTCTAGCAATTTCAACAGCACCTCACTCCGCGAATCTGCTACCTGCACCTCGATGAGATCCGTCATCAGCTCCACGGGTTTTCCGCTGGAGGTGTCAAACTGATGGTGATAACAAGAAATGACCCTCGCACGATATTTGACAATTCCTAGCTCGTTCTTCAGACAGCCTAATTTCACAGCGGCGGACGGGTGGGGGAACGGAAAGATGCCTTTAACCAGGAGGTTGATGTATGTGAGAGTATTGACGTCTGCCTGCGATACTGGGAGGATGGTCATGTCTGGAGCGAGAGGCAGTAGAAGAGAACAGGTGTGTCAGTCGTCTCTTGTGCTAGGAAGGAACCTCGTGCGTCTTTTAAACTTGTTGACTGCCTTTCCGATTGCTATAATTGTCAGCAGCAACAAAATATAAGGCTTGCTTTGCTATGACAAAAGCTTCTTGAAGATGATTGCGATGCCAGAGAGCAAGCAGCCCGACCGATACATAGCCTTGAGGGGCAGCTATCCAATAAAGCTCCGCAAACCGTCGTCATCATGAGTACCATGGCACACGAATCGAGCAACGAGAGTCGCCCCCACGTACCAGCACCTCCCAGCGTTCCTGCTACGCCCCTCTTAGACACCGATGAGAATCACCTCAGCTATCTCAGCAGTACAACACCGCTCTTCACCATACCTTGACACCGCACTGACATCATCACAGAATTAATCACCTCCACGTACCGCCCGACGCTAGAACCACTGCTCCTAATGGGCAGATACGAAAGCAGAGGAGAGGGTGTTGAAAAGTTCCGCGCGTGCGTCATTGGCTGGAACACTAAGTCAGTTACCCCAGAAAAGAAGTTCCTCATTGCGCCTCAGGAAGGACTGAGTCGTCAGTCTGCACTGTTGGCTGTCATTAGGTTGGTGGAGAGTGCAGCGCATAAGAGAATGGCGGATCTTGAGGCTAAGGAGGCCTGTGACCTCTGAAGCAGGTGGAACTCATGTCAACATTCATAGCTTAGCTTTCTCGTCCAACAATGGTATGCCGACAGCCTCTTCGAGCTCTTTCACAGCATCCTTCGTCTTGCCCAGATTCACCTTGATTGTCCTTAGTCCCGTCTTCTTCGCAAACTTCAGATTTATGCCGATGTCGTCCAAGAAGAGAGTGTCACCTTCCCTCACACTCCCCATGCCCTTCTTCCTCGCGATCTTGTCCATCTCCCGTACCGCCAGCTTGTATGCCTCCGGATCCGGTTTTCTGACACCAACCGCCGCCGAGCCAAGGAAGATGTCAAAGCACGTCGTGATATCTGTGGAGTCGTTCGCGTAAGGGTTGGGCACCGGTTCGTGGATGAGCTCTTTGGTGAAGAGCTTGCCTTCGTCGTCGAGAATGCCCGTGGGAAAAGTAACGTTGTTGCTGAACGCGCCCAGGACAAACTTTCCGCTTTCGCCTAGCTTTCGTAGCGCGGGGTACATGTATGGATCCGGAGCTCGGCTGATCTTCATCATGCGCCAGAACAGCTTCTTCGCGTCGATGTCCGGCACCTGTGGCTTCCCGCCCTCAATGGCTTGTCCACCACCGACACTCTCTTGCTGCGCCAGCTTCTGGAGATATTGTGACCATACTTCCGGTCGCATAAGCTGCTTCTTGAAGGCCGCGAACCAATCGTCATTGAGTTCGACTTCGCCCCGTTCAATGAGCTGCCATGCGCCGGTGTCGTGAGGGCCTTTCTGGATCGCGAAGTTTATGTAGCCATTCGGGATTTTGTTCTCGATTTCGTAGTCGAGAATGGCTTGGAAAGGGCTGATGACCTGCAATGGTAGGCGTTAACTAACGTGGTCCCGTCGCGCATAGTAATGAATGGCAGGGCAGTGTAAAGGAGGCACGTACAACAACTCCGCCGATGTCGAACAGGATGGCTTTCGGTGGCTTTGAGGAGGTCATGATAGATAGATGTTGATAGAGATGGCAGGCATCGCTATGAGGCTATCATGGTGGTTTGTAGCGCGTCATCGTGGTCGGCAGTCGAGGAGTCGTGAAGCCTCAAGGAACCTCGGCAATGGATAAGCTCTATCGGTCAACGGCGCTAGCCCCCGCAAACAATTCAACCTCACAGGCATGCATCGCTCATCACTGAGGTCAACTTTCACAAATCTTGCTATTTCGAATGCTTCAAGGTATCCTAGACCGCTTTCTTTGTCTTCGGCGCGTAGGCGGAACTTGGGCTTGAGATGAACGCTCTTTGGATGGTAGCTTCGCGACAATCTTGTCGCTCCTCCCCTTCCTCCCACACAGGACGTCAGGAGTCGATCCAGTTCTCTTCCACACATCATCGTGCTCGACCTCCGTGTTCAATTTCGAAAATGACAGATTGGGTATCATGCTCACCTGTCGCGTATCATTTTGCGGGAGCCGGACCCTGGGATATTTCCGATCCGTTAGGCCCGGTCCACTGTGCAGCCTGGAACGAGAAAAGTCGCCAATAGACTCACAATGCTGAACATCGCTCCTAATTCTTCCCGTCTTCTTGAAACCTTTTATGTTTTTTATCCGGTTTTGGCGCTGTATGCGCTCGTAGTGTTGATAGCGGAGGCGTTCTAGTTCAATCCGGGCTTGTGTTGTTTCGTATAGGTAATGCTGTTCGTCACCTAGAGCGAGGATGTGGATAAGCATGTGCTCGAGGTCAGAAGACGGTATCAAGCCTCTAGCGTTGAAGTAGCCAATGTTCACGACCAACTGGTCCATAATCTGATGTCTACCGATGAGTGTAGGGACCAAAGCCTCGACATCAGCTAGGGTCATCGGATGGCGTGAGATGTGTTGCAGGAGAGGACGCTGTCCTTTGACAGGCAAGACCCTCATCATCTGCTCCACACGAGTTGGGAGTGGGGGTAGCGTGTATTCTTTGACGCTACCTTTCAATCCCACTGCATCGCTTGCACCTTGGTATGATGTATCATCTAAGCGAGATGGGTCAGGAGATGGGGAAGAGGCAGTGGGGGACACTGGAAATACTAGATCAGCCTGACTTTGCCACCCGACACAGCCGCCCAGGCTCAGAGATGCCACTCGGGACTCGAGCGTTGACACGACCATGGGGTTAGTTGAGCAGAGGTGGGAAGGGGTGGTGAAGCTAGAACGCTGATCGCGATGAACCTCTAGGTAGTGAAGTGTTGCTGTGTCCCATACTGAGGAACTCCCGCCTAGGCATATGTGGAACGGAGTGAACAGTGTTTCGCGCGGTGTGTTGGCATATTGCAGCATACCCAGCGAGAAGTGAATCTGTTATACGTGCCTTGTGAGTCTATCAGTACAATCATACGATAGAAGAAGTCGCAACGTATTGTGCAATAGAGCCCTCCTCACGCTCCCGCAATGCACGATGTGAGACTTTGACGGAGTACGTACATAACGTCGCGTAGAAAGGGGATGTGTTAGAATTAGCGAACAAGGTATGCGAGGTAGAGGCTGGAAAGGCATTATGCATACTATACGTGTACCGCTAGATGGCTGAAAGCCCGCAAAGTCAATCCTATGCATGTTTTGCCGAACGTCTCCAAAAACAAACTCGACTTGCTGTAGTCGCATTTATGGATGTTGCTTGGGGAAGGCTATGGCGTGAGACACGATGGCAAAATTGCTGCTCACACAACTGCTGAAAGCTTTGTGGCTCTCAAAACAAAACTGAGCAGTTGCGTACCAAAGTTCTGTTGCTCCAGGACTGGTACTCACATATGGCGGACGAGTACCATTGATTTGGCCTGCGGGAAACATCGTGCTTTACTCGTTGTTACTCCGAGAACAAGCCTCATGCGTTCCAAGTCAGCTCGTAGCCGAAGACAGTCCGGCGAAGAAGTTCATCCTAAGTTCGGTCAGTGACGTCTGCAAATAAAGCGATCCGCAAAACTCACACCAGGATCTTCCTCGAACATGACCTTATCCATGACCTTCTCGAACGTCTTAGCGACGGTAAAGCCCGCATCCTTGGCCAGATCAAAGAAAGCCAAGTCTTTCTCGTACAACCACGGGCGGTATGGTGTAAAGAAGACGTAGGCTCGGGAGTTCGGCGATTTCTTGAGGGTCAGCTGGACAGTCTTGATGAGTTTGGCGTGTTCCGAGTGGTTAAATAGAAGGTCGGCCAAGATGAGGACATCAAAGCCCGAACCATCAGCCAGATATTTCGTCAAGTCACCGGTAGGCGCACCCCAGAGATACCCCTGTACATACATTAGTGATGTTTGCCAAAGTTGAGCACAGTCACAAACCTCCGCCACAATCTTGGGTGGCTTAGAAAGTAGTTCGCAATGGTCGACATTGTATTGCAGGTTTTCGACCAACTCAGCATCGGGATAGTCCGTGACGACCGTTTGAGCGGCACCGTTGAGAGCACAGACAAGGCTTGGAAGTCCTGCTCCGGCGCCAAGCTCGAGAACCGTCCGGTTTTCAACCAGCTCTTTTGCATTCTCCTCTAGATATTCAGATATAGTGCGCCCTGCATTCCATAGAAAGTGCCCCTGAATACGTCAGTGAACGTGCCAAGCGCAGCTCAAGTACGTCAGAAGTCAGTGAAGGTATCGAAGCATTTCCGAAATTCCACGGGCCTTCCAGAAGTCTTCTAGAAGAACGGAAGCCAATACTGGTGGCGTTGACAAGTTCCATACATTGCTTCGGGATGTCGGTGATCAAGCGCATGACTTACCCACAAAGGGTTGTGACCGACCAAACGAACAGTGAGCTCTTTGCCGGAAAGCAGCTGATGAGACGCGAATGTGGCCTGCTTTTCTGGTTCATAGAAGTCGGTAGGCTCTTGGAACAGGTCCAGGCCCTCCTCGTCGGCTTCTGAGGACATGATGGAAGGAAAGTTGTGACGAAACAATGGTCTTGGCGAAGATTGTATTTTGGGTGTTCGAGGAGCGGAGCCACAAGTGGCACGTGCCTAGATCACCAGCCACCACCTTTCCTATCTCAGCTGCGTTCCAGACAGACGCAATCTTCGAAACAGCGGATCGCCGTCATCAACGGGGTCTGAAGGCTGACCAGGCAGGATGCGCTGCAAACGGCCGCAGGGTCTGCCGCTCGCTCGTTGGCTGTGGCAGCGAGCGTTGCACCAGCCCGATGGCGTGGGACGTGATCCAGGTGGCTTCAAGCGACGCCTCAAGTATACCACGGCCTACCAATCGCGCCCACACCGATTGAATTATCGCGGTACTCATCTGAGGGCGCCAGGGTCCGCTCGGCGCCAGATTCCCCACGCTCCAGTGATATACCCGGCGGCCGCAGCATCGTTTCCACGGTTCTTCTGACCATGATCTGAGCAGGCACAGGTGCTGCTCTCCGTAGGTCACGTTTCCATAACTCCCGTCTTGCAGGTACTTTATCTCACCACTTCCTCCACTTGCTTTACCGCTGAGACATCGCCTGGCATCTATTTCTCCATCATCGCACCTTCTGCTTGTGCCGCCCTGAAGCGACTAAGACCGCTTAGTAAGAAACTTGCTCAACGCTAAGGCACTAAGCCTAATCCAACCCTCCGCCAAACGTCGCATCCATTCAATTCACGACAAACCTTCGAGCGCCGACCAGCAGATCCCACGCCTTGACACCTGGAGACCCGAGTCATTCATCCGTCTAGTGGGGAGAGGTGACGGCGGTGTTCTTTCTGCGGTTTTGAACTGGTATCTCACGTCCCCACCAACGCTGGGCCCTGTCAAGGCAATATTTCTCCAGACCGCATCCTGGGAGGAATCCAGTACAACCGGCGCCCTGATTCCGCCGGCTCTCAACTGAGGACCCTGCCGCTGTTGCCGTGTGCATTTCCGACGTGCGCCCGCCTGCATACGATCCACCATTCATCCGTTCCGCGCTCAAGATCGCTACTGCATCAACCAACGCCTGTGCTTATACAGTATTATCACCGACACTGTGGGAAGCCGGTGGCAGCGCTCAGGGTTATCAACGCTCCAGGCGCTCGGAGCTGGACCCTTCACAGATCACTTAGCCAAGCCCAGTACCGAGTCTACCTTCTCTTTCGGATAGTTACATCGCACCACATTGAAGCCTGTCGGCCACTTTCTCTACCAACGAGAGTCGTACGTTTAGCCTAGACTCTTGCCACTGCATTGTCTTCCGTGCCGTACGCCACCTCACCCCTCCGCAAGACTTTCACGTGCGCGGTATACAGTAAGCTTGGACAAAAGCTGTTCCCATCAGCAGTCTTACTTCGTCCCCGATACACGGCGCATTTGGTGGTAACCTGCCGCGGATTGAGCAAGTTATTTCGACCTCATATCAGCCCCGCATCATGTGGGCCGAAGTCAATGGAGAGCGCAAGAAGGTCGCCTGGTAGGTACTCCCGCTTATTCGTCTTGCTCCTCGTTCTGCATTGTCCTACCCTCTTGTCTTCGCTATTTGTTACGCACATACAGCAGGTACCCGAGAAATTCTTTAGCGACTGCGGCTTGCATCGCATTGCGCAGGCTGCTCATTCGCCGTGCACTTTAACTGACTTTCAATAGCGGTCCGTGCATCCGCGGCCATCGCTCGTCGAAATGCGACCACAGAGATCGGGTGCTTGTCGAGGTTCGAAAGCCGGGTCGACCTTTGAGTAGCTGTCCACATCCGACTGGCTCATGCAGTTGCGAACGTGTCGTCATCAACTACACAATTCCCAAAGCGTCTGAATGTGCTTGCCCTTCGGAACGAGCTGCACCCACAGCTACCGTTGCAGGAAACAGTCGAATCCAAAAAGGCAGGCGTAAGTCTGCAGCCGTCACCCCGTACAACCTCGAGAAAGCCATTCAGGCTGGCTTTGACGCCAAGACTGATGCCTCTTCCATCACGTATACACCCTCGGAAACAAGTGGTAGCAACGCAGCGTCACTCCCTTCGAGTGCAAGCTCAACCCCACGTTTACTCCCTGCGCAAAACGAGCCCGTCTCCAGTTGCTGCAAGCCAAAGCCGGTTCTGTCGCCAGTTCAAGAAGGAGGTTGTTGTGGTAGCAAAGCCAAGCCAGCACCAGCGCCAGCACAAGGAGGCTGCTGTGGCAGCAAAGCCAAAGCAAAACCAGCTCCAGAGCCGCCAGCACAGAAGAAGTCTTGCTGTTCAACGAAGCAGGAAGATGCACCCGTCAACGATCAGTCACACGCTTATCAACATATGGGACATCAATTCCAATTTCCAGCTCAAGCGGTGATCCCACAGTACCAGAACTTCCATGCGCAAATACCATCGCCTGCACCGAACCCCTTCGGTCTCGGCACTCCAATCTACAACCATGCAGCGGCAGCCTATCATCGCCAAAACTCCGTATCGATGAGCCCGTCAGCGAACCCTCCCATGTCACCGTCTGTTGCAAGTCCTCACATCGGTCAGCACGTTCCCGAACACAACTGCCACTGCGGAGAGTCATGTAGCTGTTTTGGATGCGCAGCGCATCCCAACAACGCTACAATGATGGAATACGTTAGGATCATGGCACACTTTCAGTACAACGGCGGCTTCGGAGGGATGCCTCCACCACTGTACGACATGCCTACCTACCCTCATCAATCTGGCTACGGAGCGGAGGCCGGTCACAACCTGAACTTCGGTCCAATGCAACAAAGCTTAGCAACACCCACACCAACGCAGATGAGTTTTCAACAGAGCATGGACATGGCGACCATGCCTCAGGTACCAATGGTGTTGCCCAGGGACTGGCCACAGCAACTGAACCCCGTGCCAAGCCAGCCGCAAGCCCAATTCCCCAGCAGCCTTGGTTACACACCGACCATGTCAGCGCCAAGCGACACGTTGCAAAAGTC